AGACTTTTTTGCCGTATGAGTATACGTTGCCCATGGTGCAACACGTGGAGATAAGTCAATTGCGCACCCCTCAGTACTATTAATTATATGGACAATTTATTGTGTATGCCCGCAATAATCAGTTGAAGTCTTGATCTCTAACCTACATATCCAGTGATCACCAGTAATCTATTTTTTAACATTCAAGATAATTTCTCAATAAAAGCGTAATGGTGCAGTTTAACTCTACCCTTCGAACTCCAATTACTGCCATTCACTCTAAGTTGCTTCTCTAACATCAACTAGTCGCCGGCATGTACAACTCAAAATAATTTATACAAATTCAAGATCTAAACACCCTTAACAGCTTTTATTTTTTGTTATTTGTTCTCTTCCATTAATTAGCTTTTCTCTGCCCAAGTATTTCTTGTTCCCCATGTTTAAAAAGGAGGTATCTATTGAGCTCTAAGCGCGACCAAAAATCTTTTTTTTCATTAAACTGACTGACTCAGAAACTTCTGTGACAGATTCTCCAACATCTAGCTAGACTCCCAGAACCAGCTAAGCTATTGCCCAGCTACAAAGGAAACAGACGTTTAGCACGGAGCACGTTTATTCAATGAGTATATTGAGGATGAAAAGTACACGTAGGGGGCTTAATCATGATCAGGATGACGGATAAGGTTGAACAAACAGAGGTTAATGATTGAGTCGCACCTCCCAATCCTGGCGTGCAGGCATGCGATGACGTGTCCCACAAGCTATAAAATATAAACTGGAAAATCACAAAGATATCTTTCCTTTTTACGCCCTGGGTAAATTATGTTGAACGTTGAATTTTACTCAATCTTTATACAATTAAAAAATTGTATTAGGTTGGCAACTAAGTCATTGCCGATTTCAAATAAGAAGGCAAATTCGGAATTTTTGTTTAAAAATATAACTATTCAATTAGATATTGGCCGTTCTTGTCGATGACCTTTTCCATCGTTCTGGCAGAGTAAAAATTCCCCCTTCGTAAAATGTCTGGTCTTTACTATTAAAAAACTGAATTAGGTGTGATCCGACATCTTCCGCGTTGTTACAAATTTTACCATTTAAAGAGTTTTGCATGGAACGAAACAAATGGTAATCCGAAGGCGCAAGGTCAGGGCTATATGGTGGGTGTGACAAAACATCCCAACCCAGTTCCAATAATTTTTGCCGAGTAACCAAAGATGTGTGGGGCCTTGCGTTATCATGATGGAAAACAACACCCTTCCGCCGATTTGATAATGCCGGCCGCTTATCTTCAATTGCATCCTTCTTTCAGTTTTTCGAGTTCTTCAACATACACATTTGAATTTATCGTTTGGTTCTGCGACATGAGTTCAAAATACAAAATTCCTTTGCGATCCCACCAGACTGACAGCATAATCTTTTTTGGTGAATCTCTGCTTTTGATACTGTTTGGGCTGGTTGATCTTGCTTCACCCATGGTCTCTTGCGAGTAACATTGTTATAAACTATCTACTTTTCGTCGCCAGTAACTAGGTTCTTCCTCGGAAATGGATCATTCTCATTGCTTTTCAGTAGCGAATCACAGATGCTAATCCGTTGCATCAAATGAATTTCCTTTAACTGGTGAGGGATCCATAAATCAAGTTTCTTGACATAACCAAGGGTTTTTAATTTTTTTCAATGCATGTATGCGACACATTGAGCTTCTCTGCAATATCATCTCGTGTTGTGCTGTGACAATTTGAATCGATAATGGCCTTGATATGGGTTTCATCCACTTCGACTGGGCGGCCAGATCGTTGTGAATTTTTCAGTGAAAAATCACCGGAACGAAATCTTTCAAACCAATTTCGACACTGCCTTTCTTTTAAGGCTTCATCTCCATATACGGCACATAACTTCTTTTGTGCTTGCGATGCGTTCTTGCCTTTTCGGAAGTAATACAATAAAATGTGTCGGAAGTGCACGTCCTGTTCTTTCATTTTTAAATTGGGATAAAAACAAAACTAAAGAACTAAACAAAAAAACTTTTTAATAATTAACCTAGACGCCCATACAGTAAGAAAAAATATACGTTAGATGCTCTGGCCACGTTAACGAAACAAAAGAAAGTATAGAGTGAATCCGTCAACAAAAACGGCAATGACTTAGTTGCCAACCCAATATATACTAAGCAGAGTACGGCTTGAGGATTGTATTATGATTTATAATTTCGTTTTTTCCCATAATTAAAAAAGAAAATAAGAATGAGTTACTTGAAAAATGTTTTTAATTACACATTTTCTGTGGAAAAATAAAATGACATGAATTGACTAATGCTCACCCTTCTTTCAGATTTGGCGAGATATTGATGACGTGATTCTGAAGGTTCTAATGTCCGGGTTACCGGTATTGCGACACAACTACAGAACATGCTTCCCAAATCATATTGAAACTTCCGCTTGCTTTGAAATTCTGGGCTTCGATATCATGTTGGATCGCAAAATGCGCCCATATGTCATTGAGGTAAAGATTAAAATGTTTGTAGTGATAATTGTTGTTTGTTTTAAATAGTGCACTAGATAAAGTGACAGAGTGACGAGTTTAAATTCTAATTGCGGAGGCGCATTGAATAATTTATTAATAACTCTGTTTGAATTCTGGATTTCGCTATTTGCATCCCCCATCTATTAAAGCAGCGGTAGTTCTGGTCCTTTTGAATGTGGTATAGACTTTCGGACTAATGAAAACACATGCATTAGCTAATTAACTCATTCGGGAGAAGTTTCCATTAATAACCGTTATGAAAAGTGGTATTTGCACAGAAAAATATGCGACTTCCGATGTTGCTTCTAGTAAATAGAAAATTGAAGTTATTATGCCTGTTAGAGATCGAGTTGTGAGTTGCGCCTTTTTTTCCAAAAATCGAAGAATTACCACATGTTTCTCGCATCGAATTAGGATAAAAAAAGTACTCTCGGTGTCCTTTTTCTTGCATTTCCATCGCTAATTTATTTAGCGTATCCTCTAATCTCTACAGCTATAATTAGTGTCGCTAATGCAGTTAATATCTCATCTCCCATTATTTACATTTTCCCACCTATGAAATTTGGCAAACATAATGCTACGAAAATTATTTTCAGTCCAAATTGAAATTGTGTAAATTGATCACCTAATTTATGATTGAATTTGCGCTCTTATGCCTTCTGGGCACAAAAATAACCGAGAGTATGTACTTGCTTTCTCTATCTTTATTAAGCTTCAATACGTAAGCTCTGTGTTACTTTGCGTTGATGAGTGAGTCACTAGTCAGACTACTGATGCTGGTTAATGGAAGCAAGTTATGATCACATTGGGATAATGAAGAATATCTGCCGGCTCTGACACAATGTGTTAATGACGCTTTTTTTACTGAGTGCATATCCTAGCTTATAATTGATAAGTAGGTGAGACGATTCGTACCAGCCAGACTTTTAGCTTAGCTTGTTAACAAATGCGTCCTTTTTTCCTTCTTTCAAATGATTTTGCATAGGTTTGGTAGATGCTAGAATATGTAAAATAAATAGAAAAGTCTCGCATAGGAGAATCGATTTTCATCTGACGGTCTTTATAAGTTAACTCAATCTAGATTTAATGCTCTGAACCATGTCAAGCGAAAGGACTTTTTAGAGCTTTAGGGATAAATTTGCGTTTCATCATCAAATTCGTCGCCCCCAACAACATGTAGTATTGAAGTTTATAGATATTTCTACATATTTCATATCTTGAGTTGACTTGCAAGTAATGATCATGCCAGTTTTTAAATAAGTCAGGCCTCCTTTAAGCTATTTCAATAGTTGTACCAATGAAAGTACGAAATTTTTCTGATTTGCTTTACTTATAAAAATATAAGAATACAGGCTCAATAACAACAAATTCAGGTCAACCATTCGCCCAGTTTCCATACAGACAGTCAACTGGACAAGGAGATTAAAGAGGCTCTCTTGTGGGACACTTTGAATCTTGCTAACTTTGATTTCGTTGATCGGAAGACGTGTATGGAGGACGATAGGCGTCGAATTCGGGAACGACTTTTAGGGGGAAATTTTGGAAAAACCACAAGGTTCGTTTAACCTCGCTTACCTACAGTGTAATCATGTAATCTTTAAAGCGTTTGATTTGACCACAGGGATGATTTGAATGCGAGGATGGAAAAGTGGGCAGCCAAGGCAATAGAATACGAAAATGAGCATTTGGGCAATTTTCGTCGAATTTTCCCCTGTGCCAATAGCGAAGTGTACGAGAAATATGTTAATAGTTCTCTAACCCTCTATACTGAGACTGCCACTTTCAAAGCTCGTCTACAGCATTCAAAGTAAGTTTCAGGATGTTTCTAACACTATTTAAAAAGACTGGATGGCATTATTTACTCCTGATTACATTTTAGGCAACTACGAGAAGAAATACAAGAGCGCAGAGCCCGTTTAGAGTCAATATTCCGTCCAAAGCAAAATAAACTTAGATCTGAGAGTCCAAATCGAAATCCCTATGCGAATGGAACGCGTCGACTGGGACCTAAAGGCCCACCAGGACCTCCTAACGCTACTGACACAACACAAAAAGGGAGTGAGAAATCGCGACTTCAAAAATTGCGACACCAAGTCGTAGAGGAGCCAAAGTTCAATTCTCTTGAACCATGCCCAATTGATGAGAGAGCAGAGAAAAGGCGATGCCTGGAAATGGAAAGACGGGGTGTATTACTTCGTAGTCTTGGAATTGTTGATGCTGTCTATAGGCTGTTGTCCGAAAAACCTAGAGTTGTGCCCTATGAAAGGCGCACAATGGGCATGTCAGCTGGAGGTAGAAAAATGCCTCGACAATTTCCTCTTGCAAATCCTGTTGAAATTGTTCTTCCTGAAATTATGGACACATCAGTTAACAGTGAGTTTGGTTGAGATGGCTTTATTGTTGCGAATGCTACCTCGAATGTAATACTTCTATTGGCTTATAGTGCGCCGACCAAGTGCTCATCCTATCAGAGGCATAAACGATGTCAATCTTCATTTAAAGCCGGTGCGTTCATTTCAATGCCTTTAAGAGTTAACGTCTACTAAATCTCATAATTTGCATCTTCAGTTGACATCATTTTAATAATCATTTTCTTCTAAATGACAATTGGGGAGGGGGGGGGGGTAAATAATTTGCTTTTATGTCCATATTTCACATTGAAAGTAGTTTTGCACGGAAGGATTTTAACATTAAGGTACGATCGATATTATTATTTGTATAAGTGCCTTTATCACCCAAAATGCTAGCTAATTTCAAACCGAAATTGGTAATTTTTATTTATTTTCATTGCAATTACCTTCTTTATAATGCCATTTAAATTCGCAAATGTAAATGTTCAATTTTTATTGAAATTATCCTCTTAGCGTCGTGTTTTTAACCTCTAGATAAATAGTGTTTAGTTTTCAGTGAAATCCTAGAAGACAACCAGTATTGCTGTAGAATATTGGATGGTTAACTAGGTCTAGAGAGATAATAGACCACCAATTTCAAGAAATTTTTCATAATTTTTTGTCAGCCTCGGGGTCCACAACTCGCAAACTTATAAAATAGAGAGAATGAATTTGTACTTTCAGTGCATACCATTATGAGAGTAATTTTGATGAAACCATGGTGAATATGAGGGCTTTTGTCAGTTTTAAAATGTCTTCTATTGATGCCGCGGTTACGTGAGAGGTTGTCACGATTATTCTTTTGGCATATCATATTATAATTTTGAGGAATCATGATAAAGACGTGATAAAGGCCACTCCTATGTTAAGTCAAGATTTCAAAAGGCAATATGAGCTCAACCATTTTACATTATTCCATTACGATGATAATGTATGAAGTTTAATTTGTTCCAATTTATTCTCTAAATATTAAAGCTGCGAATAATGGAGGCTTATCATGGGGAAAGAGTTAAATTTGCATTTTATAGAGAACAATCATTATGTTGAACCATCCAATAAGGAATTTGCCCCCATGGCCCTTTTTGCAAGTTGTGTAAATGCAAATGTGGTCCGTCTTCCATTCAGCTCGCATTGGAACGTTCAAAGCGATGCGTCAATAACTTGTTAACGTTATTTGTACTAGGTGACAATTTAATTTAATACTGTGTTAAAAGTATCCAGTTTAATTAATTTAACTTGAGAATATACGAAAGTCACTCAACCAGTGATTTTATGGAGAAAGATACAGGGGGGGGGGGCATTCAGATCCCTCCAGAAATGGACATTTGACATTTTTTCTAAAACTTAACTTTATTTAGTCTGTTTGTGGCTGTTAATTCCATTAATTACTTCCCAGCATAGACAAGTAAAATTTATTGTTGTACTGTTTAGGCGGCTGGACAAAGCACACAAATTCCCCAACCTTCAAATGAAAGTAAATGATTTAGCGGTTGGCATGACTCGACAAAATTGGCTCTATTATTTTCCATATTCGGAAAAAAAACATTTTTTTCATAAAATGCATTTCCATTGAGAATTTAATGATCGCGTGGGTTGGATTAAAGTAGATAGGTGACAATTGACAATGAAGTACAAAGATGGAGATAGGTCAACTAGAATAGTAGATGTGGTTCGGGGATTACTAACATTGTAGTTTTAATGCTCTAATATCAAAGACGTCAACTGAAGGGATCATCCTGACGGTTCCACAGAATTCCTACAATTTTTTCAAGTAATCTTGAAAGATATCATCAATTCTAATAGTTGACAGCGGCTAATTGAAATTATTTAAAATACCGTAATGCAAGAAGTGTCGATTAAGAGATAATGAGAAAGTGATCACCTTAATTTTATTTATTCATTCTGTTTCTGGATACAAAAGGAAATATAAACTTCACTGATGAACTTAATCATTTATGATGAAATTGTCTAATTAGTTAGCATTTTCAAAACAACAGGGTAAAACAAGGAAGGATCACAATAATTATGATCCTACTAATACTGAAAACCGATTTTGCCACCATCTGAGTTTGTTTTATAACCATTGATTTCAATGCGTCTGCTCTTGGATAGGTGCAAAATTGCAAGCTTGTCGATTAAATTAATCAAAAATTGGTCAAATTCACCTCTCCACGTGTTCGCATTAATTTAGTGATGGGATTCGCATTTAAGTTAACCAACTGCAATTTTTAACATTATCATAGAGAGATTCGAATAACTCCTATACCAATCCCTCCTCTTGTCAGACCGCGCAAAACGAGGCGATGTCTCGAAATATCCCGATTCTCGGTCGAAGTTTCCTGCACAACCGGGTGGCCCCGAAGAATTATGAGGATTCTTCCGATTTAGAATTTTTAGATATCCCACCGGGAGGGCATCCAACACCAGCTAGACGTGAATACGCTCTAGTTTGTCCTGACGACCTCTCCACTATTAATGTCACCGGCTCGGCTATGACTGCACTCGCTTTCGGCAGCTCGAATGCTTTACTCGAAGCGCCGGCGGAGTCAACTCAACGGCAAGCGAAACCCTTGTCACCGAGTTCACCGATTCCGGATAATGATTTGAATTTGAATGAAGGTGAGTAAACACATAAAGCAAATATTTGATTGGATTAAGTTCAATGTGCTTCGGAATTGCTTTGCTCATAAAATATATTGCCTACGAAATGTTTTGATTTCTTGCTAAGAAGTAGCTGAAATCGTTAATCTGAAACTGAAATTGAGTCGTTCGAATGAACATTTAACTGGGAAGATACCTCGTCTTATTAACTCAAAGAGAAGAACAGAAGAGGGAAAGTAGATTAAGATTTAAAGTCTGAGTTTGCAGAGTTTTTTTAAAATCCTGTGGGAAAATGTTTATTAGAAAATCGAAAACCCCTTAATGGAGAGTATAAAAGTTGATTGGTTAATTGGTTGAGTAAAGAGGCTGCTTCAATTCTCGGAATATAGTAATTGGCAACCATGTGGTTTTAATCGGCATTACATTCTCTCTGTGAAATCATTTTAGAAGCTTGGCCGAGCTAAAACGACTCGACATACTTTCCAAAAATTCCAACCCTAAGAAATGGATGTAGACATGCCGAAGTAAGGTATTATAAGCCAAACCACCTACCATTAAACAGGCTAGCATACGTATACAGTGTGGAGCTATGGCTCGTGAAATGCTCATCCACAATCCCATGATATTTTAGACGGAAATTTCAATTGTGACAAAATAAGTGCTTCCTCTTACTCTTGTACCATTGCATGCTTCTTCATTCATCTTCTTTACTTCCATAGTCCTTTATGTTTTTTTTAAATTTCATCCCACCTGGTCTATAATGAAACTTTATTTTGACCAAGTACCCAAAAATACGCCAGATTGTGCCTCCAGTTTGCATATTTCTAGAAATATTTATTTATTTCAAATGGCCGGCTTTATGATATTTATC